CTGAGGTTTCTCTTTTGCATGGATTTTAGCGTTTACGAAGCCGTTCGCGTGCTTGTCAGACGCGTAGCTGAAGCACATGAACAAACCAACGTACCACGCGACTGACAAGCTACGCGAGCGACCTCAAGGCTAAAACTAGGCGTGCCAGAGAAAAACCTTCACCTGCTCGCACGGTAATTTTGTTGCTTATGAACTACAATTTTCTGGCAGTCAGAGTATAATATAGGACTTTTAAAATGTTCTAGACAGAGGCTAAAAAAGTAGCTCAACTATATAAATACGATAAACAACATTTGAGTAGTTATTAATGAAGCAGTTAAAATATTGGATTTTATACTTATACGATCTGGCCTCTAATAGGGATAGGCGGTTTCAAAATCCAAGTGAGCCATCTCAAAACCCTCGTTAATTTATCGTTTATCTCAGATTATCAGGTCTAAAATATAAGATAATCTTTAATACTCGTCCTGTTTTTACGAAAACTCAATGATTCCCCGAAAGTTTAACCTAAGCACGAAAAAAAGCTCCGTTTTATAGCAAAATGATGACTTCTCAGATTAAAGCTGATTCCGAGACCGTGAACGTTGCATCAAGCAGATCAAGCTCGCTTGTTAACAGTGTTTTTAGAGTATTCCAACGCTTAATCAGTTTCCAGAGAATTTTACATTCTTTATATATACGCGTTCGAGACAGAGACGGTTCAAGACACAAGATCAAAACAAAACTGCATACTACCAAAATCAAAAACATAGTGGTTTTTTTTTTATTTCTGCGAGGAACATTTTTGACATATGGAACGCTTAATTTTCAGACCTCTAACAGACTTTTCCCAGATAACAACTTAACTTGAATGGAATGAAAACGAATCGAATATGCGATATTTTTCTGAATATATACCATATCATTCCCCTTGAGGTTTTACAGAAATTATTTCCTGAGTGCCATGTATTTTGAAGTCGTCTTGAATGCAGCGAGTGAAACTGCTTTGATCATGCTTTGATCATAAAAAGTCAATAGAACAGTTTTTTATTATCTGAATATTTCAGTATACGAAGGACCACTATTCGTTACTCAACGGACAGCATTAGCTGTGTTTCTCAGTTAAAAATAGCCAAATACTAATGCAAATTTTAGACATTTACCGTCCTTGTTTTACCTTTCTTCCATTGCGAGGCGACGTCAAAGAGGCAGCTGCTCTGACTAGACTGAGCGACGAAAAAGCTCTTCAGTCGACCAAAAAAACTAACAATTCCAAAATATTCCTTCCTTCCTAGAGTTAATATGATCCATCTCGTAACATTTATCTTGTATTCAAACCTTTAGCGAGGCACAACGCGCGAACCGTGCAACAAACAGCTTGAAAACACAAAAAATATTTCATCCTTCAAAACGCCTTGAAAAACAATGAGTTGGGGAAATTAGCATACACAAATGAAGACAAGTGTATTTCCTGTTAATTTAAGGGCCCTTTTAGGAAAGAAGTAGAAAACATATGGCTTTTATGTTATCAGTTGCCTTTAAAAAAAATGTCTCGAGGGTATTACTTTTTTCATGGCCTCAGTTTTTTTTAATCATATTTGCTCTTTAATTCAGTGTTTCGGACTAACAAAATGAATTTCCAGTAAAGAGTATAAATTTTTGTTTTGCAGCATTATAAAAACATACAATGTTGCAAAACTGCGGCGCTAAAATTATTAGTCTCCCCCAATTCCAGTCTGTTTCAGGTTTCAAGATACTAATGTGAAGAGATGGTGAGAAAATCGTTTGAGAAAATCGCGCGGGGAGTGGCGAGTCACGGGCGTCTTATTTTTGCTTGAAATTGCTTTCGCGGCGTTCCCACTATCTGAAAGCCTGACACACTGTTGGCTACCACCAGTCTTGTTCCCGGTCGTTGGCTGCGATTTCGAATGCGACGTCACCTGACGTCGACTGACCTCACATTTTAAGAACGATTTATTGTTAGTCTTCTTGAAGTATAAAAGATCATTAAAAATTATTATTAGGTAAAAACTGAATATTTTGACTGAAGATCTGGCGTTTGAAAGATGTTCCTTCAAATACGATGTTCAATCAAGAATTTATTTCCGTATCATGCAAAAATTCCCTTCCTCCCTATCCCCTACCCCCTACCCCCTACCCCTTTCGACGCCTGCTACGCAGGCTACAAAAAACCATGCAAAATTTTTTTGGTTCAGATTTATCCAGTTTTCGTTAATTGTTTATTTGCTTATTCATTTTTTTATTGATTGATTGATTGATTTCTTTATCTTTCTTTTTTTTATACTAGTTTTTATAAATCACCAAACACAAACTGAAATACTTTTAAAAAACGTACGAAAAATAATACTTGAATCATGGCTAAAACTGACATACAATCCACACATGCATTCCGATCACAAGCGAGAAAACCATCTCGTCCTCAGTCCCCTTTCGTGATGCACAACTTGTGGGGGCTTGGGACTAAGTTTGTGCGAACAGCAGGTTCCACTGGCGCCTCTACATCCGCTGGCGGAGATCTAGGGGGGAGCTTCACCAGTGATGACGAAGAGAGTAGAGGGCGGAATTATAACTTGGCCTCTGATCCTTCATACTGGAAAAAGCCGGATATGTGATATAGCGTGATTCTGCGGGTGGGCGTCCAAGTTTAGACCTTTAAACGGAGCGTAATTGAAATTTATTTACCTACGAAGCACTTGGGAGTTTTTGGGGGGTTCCAGATCGAATTAGAATTTGGAAGTGTTGGTTTTTGAGTAGAGGGGAAAACCGAAGTACCTGGAGAAACACCTCTTGGAGCAAGGGAGAGAACCAAAAAGCCGGGATTTGAACCCGAGCCACAATGTTGGGAAGGGACAGCTCTTACCACTGCTCCACCCTTGCTCCCCCATGTGAAGGAAGATTTTAAAGCAGAAATATTGTTTTGTTTGTTGTGCTGTTTAAGTATTTTTGCCAAGAGCATTTGCCGCTAGTCTCGTCAATGTAACAATACTTCGTAATTAAATTTCCGATTTACCTTAATATCATAACTTACTTCTATACGCGATGTGGCAAGTTCACTCGCGACAATGTACATCACGCGAAAATACAAGACATACAAAACGTATCAAGTTACCAGGAAAAGGTTCGAAAGCCTTGCGACGCCTTCTCCTTGTTCACCGTATTCACGGTTTTGGGATTCCACTGCAAGACAACAACTGCGTACAACGCCCTGAACACCAGATTATATTATGACAACATCTATTCCACCACAACTCTTGTTATCAGTACAATGACAATTTAAACACAGTACATACTTTAAGAGCTATTGGCCCCTTAATTGACATGAACTAAAACACCAAAAAAGTTCAATTCAACCTACGTTAAAATTAAATGAAATATAGTTCTAAATATCATTCATACCAATCAAGCTCAATGTTTAGAGTATAATACTGAATATACCACTCGAAAAGTCCACGAAACATTAAATTAATAAAAAAAGAAAAATAGGGGTGTTGAATTACTGAGAATCAAATAAACCAAGCTTAGTCAGAATTTTTCTCCAATTCCTCGCTAAGGCCTGCGTGGCAGGTTTTTGAAGGGGGAGGAAAGAACCCGGGGACGCGATCGGAACGCGATGGAGGTGTAACAAGGAAGAGGAAGTCACCCATCTTTCTCCCTCTTCCGCACTAAAATAATTGATTAATTCTTTTAAATTTCCTTTCTCCTTTAAGCGTTTGCTAGCTTCGTAAGTTATCCAATTTGCACATTTACTGCGTGCCAACTAAAAATGTGTGTTTATTCTTTACGGTGTTTAATCCCAACTAATAAAATATGTAAAAAGATCTGGAAAATCATTTTGTTCATCTTCAATATTGAATATTCTAACTGGCTGCAATAGGTTGCACGGCTTGAAGCATGTTACTTAATGTTGAGTTCAGTCAAAAGTATTTAATTATTCTTGTACCTAAAAATCACATGCAAAAATCTTAACTTTTTCTATTAAAGTTGCGTCTTTAAGGCGATGTGACACTGGGCAATTCGCGAAGACGATTTTTAGCGCAACACAGCGTAGCAATGTTGGAACAATGTTGCAACCATTCGAAACAATGTCGCAACAATGTTGAAATGACGTGTTGCGTTAAAAATCATCGTTGCAAATTGTCCTGTGTAACATCACCTTTAGTTTTCATTTGTTAATGGATCAATATTTTTGTTTAATGTTTATTCATCAGGAGCCCATGCTATGCTCCAAGTTATTCATTCATTCCACTTACTAACCTTGAGTTCGGTAAATACAGAGAAATCTCAGTAATGACCGAAAGAACGAGGTTAATAAGTTGTTTATTATACGGCCATTTCTTTGACGATGAGAAATTATGGACCTGAGCCTGCGATCAATTAAACCAGTAACTGGTCAAAGGATAACTTTAAAAAAACACGTCATTTCAATGAGTTGTACACTTGAGTCTGTGACACAGTCATGTGAGACTGGTCAGCGGATATCCCTTTTTGACAGCTGTTAATTGACCATAACATGGATGTCCGTAAGGATGTCCATTATATATCATGCTAAAAACACGGATTGTATATGCCTTGGACACCTACATCCGTGACATTAAAACTTAGGTCAATTGGAGGAATAACGTTGACATGTTTTGCTCGACCTCCTTTTCCCTATCCCTTTCAATGTTGGCCTCGAACTTGTACAATTCAGTCCACCGAAAAACCATTACAAAACAACATTGGAAGAGAGAAAGACAGGTATCAGAGCAGTGTGACCCAAGTTGAGCGTCCTTGATCGTAGCTAGTTATGCCCGGTCATTACAAGAAAATCTTTCCTGGTTAGCAGCCAATCAGAGTACGCGTACTATTGTATCCATATAACAATGATTTATATTCGTTATCAAACATAAAATTAGAGCAAATGAAAACTAAAATCTGGAATAAAACTGAAATGAAAGGCACTTACATCTGTCGATATTCACGTCCACCGATCTATCGATCTCAAAAAAACGTTTTCCTTTTCACTCCCTTTTCGTGATGCTCAACTTGTAGGGGCGTGGGACCAAGATTCCACGGGCAACAGATTCCAATGGTGGTTCGAAATTAGGAGGCGGAGATCCAGGGGGGAGCTCAAGCCTAAACGTCTGCAGAACGCTTGTAAGAAACAGAAAAATCTCGATTTGAGCCAACATTTGGCCTATACAGCCTCGCGGACCACCTCCAAAAGGGAGAAAGCTGAAGGTCGATCGGCAGATAAAGCTTCCATCCTCGTCAAGAAATCGCTTAGGATCAAATGAGTCAGGATCTCTCCAGTGGTTCGGGTCGTGATGAATGGCTTTTAGATCAACAATGACTTCAGAATTTTCAGGAATCTCGTACTTTCCAAGAGTGGTATCGCTCCGCACTCGATGAGGAACGGTTGCATTCGCAAACGAGCTGTGACGTATAATCTCAAAGATGGTCGCATGCAAATAAGGTAAGTTGCTCCTATCTTCAAAGCGAGGCTTGCTCTCGCGGCCGATGGTGTTATCAATTTCCTGGTGTATCTTTGCTTGGACTTCTGGGAACGCTGCCATATAAAGAACCGACCACGTTAGAAAAGTAGCAGTAGTATCTGAGCCAGCAGTCGTAAGATCTATGAGAGTGTTTATCAAGTAATCTTCATCCAAAATTCCTTTGTTTTTACTGTCCTCAAGTTCAGCGTCGTTATATGCTTTTATCAAAGCATCCGAAAGGTCCCGTATGGTCCCTTCTTTGTACGTTTGCTTTCTCTCTTGGAATTTTGATGCAATCAGTTTTTTTCTGAGGTCAACGGAATGCTGTATTCGTTTATGAATGCCTAGAGGTAGAAACTTCATAAAGGGCAATATCTCGAGCAGGACGGCACTTCCGGCCAGGTGGACGGCCTCGTCGATCATTTCAAACATTTCGTCCAAGTACAAGCTTTCTTTGGGGAAGCGAGTCTCAAACAGACATGTACAGATGATATTCATTACAGCCAACTTGATGGATTCCGCTGGATCGAAGGGAACACCACTTGATTTGCTGAATTGTTGACACAATTCATCAACCTCATGATAAGTTCTTTGCTCCAAGATTTCAATGCCGTTTCCAAACATTCGCAGAGCTGAGTGCGCAACTTTGCGCAACAACTTCCACCGAGCCCCATAGTCCCCAAAAACGATGGCTTTCTTCCCCTGGTACAATTCACGAGAAACGTAAGAATCTGATCTTCCAGCAAAAATATTCCCTTTGCGAACCAGCGCCTCCCATGCCAGATCAATATTGGTAACGACAAAAACCTTGTGGCCCATGATGTTCAGCATGTATATATCACCGTACTTCTTGGCCAGTTCCTTCATGGTCACGTGATTAAAATTGCCCATATCCAGAAAGTTGCCAAGAAGAGGGAGTTGGCGAGGCCCTGGGGGAAAGTTTTTCCTCCTTGACCAGCGGCGCATCAGGAGAAAATAGAAAAGGAATGACAAGGAGGCAAAGAAACTAACTGCTTCCCAAAACATCGCCGCAACTGAGTATACTCTGAAAATGATAAAAAAGATATAAAAATTATAGATTGAAAAGGAATGTGCTAGTAAAGAAATAAAAGTCAGTCGAAGTACATTGTTGAGTTATCAGGACCACAGTTATGCTGTACAGTTTTGAAAGAAACTGTACAGCATGGTCCTGAACAACAAATTTATTGTACCCTTTTAGTTAATTGATTAATTTAACAACTTGTAAATAACTATATGATAATATTCTGCTTTGGGTACAATAAATGTGTTGTTCAGGACCACAGTTATGCTGTACAGTTTTGAAAGACACGCCAGAGAAGTACAATTCGTATTAGTTGAAAGTATATACACTATTTGACGTCATTTACCATAACATATCATACCTGATCACACCCTAAAATGTCCGTTGAGAAAGAAGACAACCTTAAAGTTCAAGGTGCGTTATGGTGGGAGAAAGATTGACTGTAGCGGGTAAATAAACACATTCACGACAAGTGCCAGCGGTAGAAATAGGTAACAAATAAAATGCGTTTCACAGTTTTAGCCCTGATCAGAGCTTTTGGGCACTTAGTATCATTTACATGCAGATAAAATAAACTGGCTAGAGCCATTCTGTTTAAGAGGTTTCGAAAAATTAAAACAGTGGAACCTCGTTCTATGGACACATGGGGTCAATTATTTTTTTTATATATAAATCTTTATTGTTCTTTCACACGCACAACAGTTACATATTTTACAGTAACCAGTAACTAAAATAAAAAAAAAGGCCAAACAGGAAGCTATATAACAGACCAGTTATAACAATATGCCAGTCCATTGAGCTAGTATTCGTGTTGCTAGATCTGAGAAATTGGGGGCTTTAGTTTGCATTGGTAATAATATTTCTACGGTGGCTCTGAGGTGACATGCGGAAAACCCGATACTTTTCTCCTATTAGCGACTTTTCTAGAAACTTTTCTAGCGACTTTTGTAGCGACCTTTTTGGCGACTTTTTCAGCACCTTTTAGGTAAGTACGTGGTGCCAACCATCATATATGCGAAACGTTTACAACAACGGACACTATTCTGTGTCCCGAGTCACAAAATCTCATGCATCATCAACCCTCAGAAAACTCTTTTCTGCCAACCGTTTATAATTGAATATCTTCTAGATGAAACTCTAACGGAAACAGCGACTGACCTTTGAAAAGTGCTGTCTAACATTCAGTCCACTTGGCTGAGTCGCGTACAAAGTAAAATCCCGGATTCCATTCTCGTGTTTCAGGAACAATACTTAAAAGG